TCCAGTTATCATGTGTCTCCTTTTGATCTAGAATGCTATATAGGCATACCTCCTTTTATTGTGCTTCACAAATACTGCATGTATTACAAGTTAAAGATTCAAGACTTCAGTGGGGGAAGTATCTGCAGATGTGGAAATAGCAAGAGAACTAGAATTAGAAGTAGAACCTGGAGATGCGACTGAATCACTGCAATCTCATGATCAAACTTGAACTGATGAGGATTTGCTCCTATTTTTTTTATTTGGGGTTAGGATGAATTTATTTTTTAATTTAAATTCAATTAACATATTATTATCAGAAGTAGAGGTCAGTGATTCATCAGTCTTCTATAATGCCCAGTGTTCATTATATCATGTGAGAGTTGCTCCTTTTGATGAGCCAGGGAAGTGGTTTCTTCAGATGGAAGGTGCTCCTGGTGAAGATGCTGTGAAGATTGTTGGAGTGGCAACAGAGGATTCAGTCTATCACATGAACTTAGTTGATAAAGCAGAAGCAGGGTTTAAGAGGATTGACTCCATTTTTTTCTCTCACACACACAATGGAATATTATGCAGCCATCAAAAAATGAAATCTTGCAATTTGCAACAACATGGATGGAACTGAAGGGTATTATGCTAAGTGAAATAAGTCAGAGAAAGACAATTATATCTCACTGATGTTTGGAATTTAAAAACAAGGCCTAAGTTCATAGGGGAAGAAAAAAAAATAAGACGAAATCAGAGGGAGACAAACCATAAGAGACTCTTAATCTTAGGAAACAAACAGGGTGGCTGACGGGAGGGAATAGGGAGATGGGGTAACTGGGTGATGGACATTAAGGAGGGCATGTGATGTAATGAACACTGGGTGTTATTTAAGACTGATGAATCACAGATCTGTACCTCTGAAACCAATAATACATGTTAATTGAATTTAAATTAAAAAATAAAAGTTATGTGGGTAAATGCTACCAGCAGCATCACATGCAGCAAGAAATTATTTGTGAAAGGAGTCAATCGATGCAGCAAACTTCATTGTCTTATTTGAAGAAATTGTCACAGTGAACCCAGCCTTCAGGAGCCACTACCCTGATCAGTCAGCAGCCATCCACATCGAGGCAGGACCCTCCACCAGTAGAAAGATGATGATTTGCTGAAAGCTTAGATGCTGGTTAGCATTTTTTTTGGGGGGGGGCAATAAGGATATTTGAATTAAGGAATGTATATTTTATAGACAATGCAACAAACTACAGGACAAGCTAACTTTTATATGCATTGGGAAACCAAAAAATTCATTTGACTCACTTTACTGCTCCTTTATTACAAAAAAGGCTAGAGGAAGCAGCTTACTGAAAGAGTTGTATTAGACTTGCTAATTCCCTACCCACCAGTTCTACCTCCCAACTAAGTCTAGCCTGGACCAGTCCAGCCCAAGGAAAGTTTGCATCTGCAGAGGGAACCCACTTATTCAGGTCACTGCTTCCTACTCACCAGTCCAAGGAAAGAGGGGGAAAAGAGACCAGACTCCCCACCATCAAGGTAACTCACTCCACCTGGGAAAGGTGTAGGAGTGCAGTAAGAGACCAGGAGCCTTCAGCAGATCTGTTGTCATGCAGTTTGGGTGAAAGAAGAGTAGTTTGTAGCTCCCCCCCATTTCAATTTGTCAGTTTTGTTTTTAGAAATATTTAAGATTTATTTATTTGAGAGCACCAGCAGGGGAAGGGGCAGAGGGAGAGTGAGAAGCAGACTCCCCCCTGAGCAGGGAGCTGGACTTGCAGGTGCAGAGCTGGGTCCTAGGACCCTGAGATCATGACCTGAGCCAAAGTCAGATGCTTAACCAACAGAGCTATCCAGGTGCCCCTTGTTAGAAATAATTTCTGAAAATTAGTTAAACTAAACTATTTCAATATTTAGCTGCATTCACAAGAGAAAAGAATGTCATTGTCATATGACTTAAAACTTTTGGCTTCAACATCTTTAAAGACCATTTACTATGGCCTTGGATAGTACCATGTTTCTTTGGATTAAAAAAGAGTAAATACTTCAGACTTCTTGTTTTTCTTCTATTTAGATCTACCGAGTTCATGGCTTTATAAACCTAGTCATAGATTCATTACTTGCTATGAGCAAAAATTACACTAGATATAATTAGCACATGATTCTCTCATTGGAAGGCCCCACAGTATAATAGAGAAACAGACAATTACAGTATTGGTGATACTTGCTCACTACCACAAAACCATGGGCAGAATGTTTTGGTTATGTAAACGATGGAGAAATTAATGAGAACTAATGATATATGTAAGGAAACTTACTGTTTCTGTGTAATACATTTGTGAAGATTTTGTGAAGTTTTGAAATGATAATCCTATTTAATTACCGATTTTCTACCACTCTCATGGAAGTAAGTAACAAATTGATCATCTCAAATAACCCAAAGTTACTTGGTCAAAATTTATCCCTTTGAGGTATGTTTTTTAGTTGTTTGCTCTTAATTTTATGCCATCAAGGTATTTTAGTGGGAAAAGATACCTGACATTACATTTTTGTTATATGAAGTCTTTTAAATTAAAAGGTGGGGGTGCCTGGCTGGCTCAGTCAGTAGAGCCATGTGATTCTTGATCTTGGGGTTTTGAGTTCAAGCCCATGTTGGGTGTAGAGATTACTTAAAAATATCTAGAGTAGTCAAATTCATAGAAAGTAGAATAGTGGTTGCCAGAGTTGGGAGAGGGGAAAAGGGAATTATTGTTTCATGGGTATAGTTTCTGTACAAGATAAAAAAGTTCTGGAGACTGAATATACAACAGTGTAACACTATTGACCTGTACATTTAAAGATGGTTAGGATTGGGAGGTGGTAGGGCGGGGGTGGTTGAAACAGGTGGTGGGATTAAAGAGTATACTTATGAGCACAGTAATTAATGTATAGAATTATTGAGTCACTATATAGCACACCGGGAACTAATATAGCACTGTATGTTAATATACCAGAATTAAAATAAAAAACTTAATAAAATTTAATAATTTTTAGGGGCGCCTGGGTGGCTCAGTTGGTTAAGCGACTGCCTTCGGCTCAGGTCATGATCCTGGAGTCCCAGGATCGAGTCCCGCATCGGGCTCC